TACAATAACTTAAACATTAAAACTAAGGTAAATTATAACATTCTGAAAAATATTGCTACAGTAGTGTAGTAGAATAACTCCTATTAATTATTTAATGTCTTATTCCTAAGGCTACATATTACTTGGTGTGTAGTTTTAAAACTCGAATTAAAATATTTCTACCTAAAAAACACAAATCAACAAACCAAAAATTATAGTTCGTGAAAAAGATTGTAAGCGCATTTCAAAATTATTTAAAACAAAGCTTAGATATGAATTTTTACCTCTTAGTTGGCAGGCTTGCTGAGGCAGGGATATCGTTTATTTTATAAAGGGGTTGGCATTTTCCAGAATAAGACAATTTGCCTGGCAATGACATTAGACTTGTAAATTCACTTTCGGAGTAAACAAGTTGACCTCGATTGTCTTTCGAGCAAATGAGAATAATAACAAACAAGTCCTTAGCTCGAAATCGAGTGTGATAAAGTTTTGTTCGAATTAAAATTCACTATAAAATTAAAATAAAATAAAACACCCTCGTTTCATGACATTACTACTGTGAAGAGAATATGATTTTTAATGACAACTTTTGTTTTTTACCAACTGTTAGTATTTACTGGTTAAATTATTTAATTCGTAATCCTAATAATATCGTCTTGCATACATTTAGGGGGTTTGTTTTGGATTGTTACTACATACAGCTTCTTAACAACCTCCAACAGATTTTTTTTTATTTTACCGTCTATGCTAGTGATGTTTTGTGCGTAAGAATCCCAAAAGTTGTCCGGAAGAGCTTGGGTTCGAACTCACCTTCTTGAGCCAAGTTCCAAAATATAAACACTAGGTACACAAACCTAAAGCTTTATTGAAGATTGGAAATTTTACTTGAATATAAAATGGTATAATGAAAAATGTGAGTCGTTGGATAAATTTTGGATTTACAGTAAAACCCCTTGCATATGCTTAACTATATGTATTGCTCGCTTTTTTAATTACTTAACCTCAAAGACTAGGATGGCATATAAAAAAATCTTTAATCACAAAACGCTCTTTAACAATCATAAATAATTCTAACATAACTAAACAATTGCATTATCAGTTTCAGAATGTTGTCGTCTGGAGAAAGTATTCGAAATAAGACTGATGTTAATAACCAAAATCGTGTTCTATCTCATTTCAATTCACCAATATTAACTTTTTAACAAAATTTATGTTGCATAATAGTTAATAAAAAACTTAATGAGTATGCGCAACCATATTGAAGTAATTGCACTTTTAACCCAAATCAAGAACAAATAGATAAACCTACAAACATTACAGATGTAGTTGAGTTTCCGACATAACATTGTAAAAGTATATGGCTAGGAAATAGTTTACAGTGTCTCGCAAACGTTGGTCAAATTTTCTACCAGAGACTCCAATCCAGATTTTTCATTTTCTGTAAAGTAACCTGACAACAAATCGCTTTAAATATTTGAAACGGATCAGCAGCAAAGTGACAACTGTTTCGATATTGCACCTGGAACATATGTTTCGACATGAAGAGTTTCCAGCATATTGGAACATGTGTCAGTTCGATTTTGTTCCAAATTTAACAAAAAAATTACCATTTAGAAAAATAGTAGTATAATTCATGATAATTATTTATTAGTTAATTTGTACTTCATTCAAAAAGAAATTACAAACATTGGTGCAATTTGATTAAAAAAACTAAAATTTTTGTTAGTAGATAAAATCGTGTGTTAAGAGTTTTCTTTTTTTAGGAAACACCTCTTAACATTTAATTCAACGAATAAAAACATGCTTTATGAAATAGTTAGGAAAGAGAGGTTTTGAAAAAAGTTTCATCCTATTAGGAAACAGAGGATAGAATTTAAATATTTCCAAAACGGTTGAGCATGCAATGACACAACTGTTCAAAAGATCCAGTAAAGATTCTTTTAAAAGTGAATCAGTTTATTGGGTGTAATACTCCAATAATGATCTTAGAATTCGCGTTTTGATACAAATAAATGTTTGGAGAGGAATTTCGAAACTAAATCCCTTCTAATTAAAAAGCATCAGACGTTGAATTGTTTAACGATGGAGTTTTATTTCTGAATGTTGAGTATAAATTGGTCTTTCTATCTGTCATTCGTTTGTAATTGATTTAATACTCACAATGGATCGCTAAAATATTGTATGTTTCATGTTAAAATAAAATAATATCATGAGACAAGAGTTAATAGTTTTAATTCAACACCAAAATTCTCAATTATTAAAAACTCTTCTCAAATTATCCGAATTAATTAAGGTTTTTTTTTAACTTTTTAACATACATTTTGCTACAGTAAAAAATTTGAAATGCTACCTATTAAAATGAAGTTAGATTTTCTGGAAATATAATTAACAAATGTCTACGCCAATTTCATATAAATTTTTCATCTTGCTTTTAACAGTAATAAAGTTAAAACAAATTAAAATGAGCATTAGTAATTTATTTCAAAAATCTTGTGGGGACTCGTAATTGACTTATGATTTCTTTAGTTATTAAAAATAATCTTAAATTATTAATTTTATTTAGACATTTAATTTACACGTATTTTAACATTTTGAAGGCATTTTAATATAATTTCCTTTTATAATTCTGTAAATTTACTTACTTTTAGTATCTTGTTCTATGGGTTATACAATAGAGATAAAGAAAGGTCTTAAACCCAACTAAATTATAAACATTCAAAATTCAATACCAACACATTTTTTCGGAGACTTATTATTATGATTAAAATATATATTACAGTTGTGAAATGCTCCCTATCAACAAAATGGACCGTTTAAATACTGGAAATATTCATTGAGCGTCTGGGAGCTTTATCAAAACAAGCAAAATGAAAACCGCAAGCACAGACGGTTGCTCATGAATCAACCGAAAACAGAAACTTGTCTGAAAACTGCACTCGAGAATATTACCATATCTTGAGTGTTGAGTGATCAATTCTGCCAGGGAAGAGCTTACGGCCATCCAATTGTTGAAAAACTTTACCACCGTTTATAGCTTGAATTAAAAATTTATCTTTAACTTGAATACCATAAAATTTGACCATCCAAACAAGTTTAATCGATGATTGATATTTAAGTGATTTTTAGCTACGGATAAAAAACATTTGAATGTCACTTTCAAAATAATTCAAACACTTTTCTGTATCCAAGACCTTAAATATAGAGGAGGCAAGCTGATATAGTGGTAGAGAAAGGGACATTGGTCTCCATGCCGCGGGTTCAAATCCCATCAATCACCAATGGATTTGATCTAGTTAAGTGATTACACCACACAACATAACGTAATTTATAAAATTGTTCTAGAGCCCAGTGTCCTTAGGTGTGAAGGTAGGACATCAAAATACCTTAAGTAGAAAAATTAAAGTTCACGATGGACGATTTTGATTAACACTGGATCGTCATGCCTATAGTCCCCTATCTTATCACTAATCCACTATTAAGGAGATTTAAAATATATTTTAGAGTTATTTAAATTATTTGAAACATTATGAAATGTTCTTTAAATTATTAGTTATATCTGGTTAAAAACTTTTAATTTTGATTCATTACGCTAAAGATATACAGGGTGATTGATATAAGTGTGCCAGCCGTTTTATTCGAAAACTATAATCGATATCAAAAAAAGTTAAATGGTAAGTGCCTTGGATTTTTTATTTAAAAAATTGTGGTCTGGTCAAAAAAATTATTTTAGCCGCCATTTTTCCAATATGGCCGCTTCCAATATGGACGATTTTTCTTACGGAACATCCTGTATTTTATGATGTATTCTGGTAGAAAATGTGACTTTAAGACGATTTTATTCTTGTGATTTTGTTCATAAACCTAACCGTTTCATAGATAATACTGGTTAAAGTTTTGAAATTTCTGCATGAGAAAGAATTTCAATAAAGGCCTAAGCAAGCATGCCAGCTGTTTTATTAGAAATCCATTGAAAATTTCACAACTTAAACCATTATTATCTTTGAAACGGTTAGGTTTATGAAAAAAATTACAAGAATAAAATCGTCTTAAAATTACATTTCCTATCAGAATACATAATAAAATACAGGGTGTTCTATAAGAAAAATCTATGTTGGCGGCCATATTGGAAAAATGGCTGCTAAAATAATTTTTTTGACTTGACTACAATTTTTAAAATAAAAAATCCAAGGCACTTACTTTTTAACTTTTTTTGATATCTCTTATGGTTTTCGAATAAAACGGCTGGCACACTTATATCAATCACCCTGTGTGTATACGTTTTAGATCGAAGTATTTTGGAAAGGCATTAGAAAATTACATCACACAAATAAAAAAATTGATACTAATCAGTTAGTTTGCTAAGAAAATAAGCACTTTAACATATTTATTTTGAATTGTAGAGCTCAAAGAGCTTTCAACATCTTTAGACAGGGTAAATTACCCCAGTTATATTTTATGGAGACTCTCCTGTTGTCATGCAAAATACTTTGTAAGCTTTTATAAGAATCTGCTAATGATATTTCATTTTGATGACCTCCAAAGATAATGTAAATTTTGTTATGGTATGTTTAAACTTACTTAAGTATTTCCTTTGAATTTTCATTATACACAAATGTTATTTTTAGCATTTTATTTATAGTCTTCCACATATAGTATTTTACATATTTTACTGTCAGTTTTACGTTTTATATGTCAATAACAACAAAATACACTTATACCTGTTAATTTTTTTCTATGGAATAACAAATATCACAAGAATCACAAATATTTAAAGAGTTCAGTTTATTATCATACCTTATTCCTTCAATAAATTTAAGCAAGTGAAAAGAGAAGTATTAAATCAGCTGATGAAAAAGTAAATAAGAACTTTGACTTTGCTGTCATACCAATACTTAATGAAGATCATTTGTCTTTATGGAATTGGCAAAGGCAATTCATTTCTAAAATTAAAATGGATTATTACAAAACTTTTTGAAATTATTTCAAACATTTTAACGATAAAAGTAGACGTGTTTATTTACCTTGTATAATGTGCTCAATGGACCTCTTGGCTCTAAGGGGGAGGGCGCTTGCCCTTCTGATCTGAAAAATAAATAAAATATTTTAACTCCAGCAACATCAATGTACATCCTAGGAACTTTTACCAGGTAATAAAATACAAGGGCAGATACCAAGTCAAAAATATCAAACATACAAGTTTAGAAAGTAATATTGCATATTAGAGTATATAAGATGGAAACAAAAGCTGAAAGGAAAATCATTGATGAAAAGATCGTTAAGGACAATAAATATGGTTTATTTACACTGAAATAAGAGAATATCTTTACAAATACAAACAGAAAAAAATTGAAGAGTTATATCAGCACTCAGGGTAGACTAAAGCAACGATGATTTAGATTAAATATCTATAATGGTATATTTAGTTATTCTATAGGTACAATTTGTCAACGTAACCTAAACCTAACCTAACATAAGGGGTGTTAACCTAAGGGTGGCTAGGTTAAGTACCTTACGGGTACTTACGTACTGTACAGTCCACACCTAATAATTATAACCTCACCTAACTAAGGGTGGCTAGGTTAAGTACCTTACGGGTACTTGCGTACTATACAGTCCGTACCTAATAATTATAACCTCACTAACCTAACCTAAGGGTGGCTAGGTTAAGTACCTTACGGGTACTTACGTACTATACCGACCACACCTAATAATTATAACCTCACCTAACCTAACCTAAGGGTGGCTAGGTTAAGTACCTCACGGGTACTTACGTACTATACCGTCCACACCTAATAATTATAACCTAACCTAACCTAAGGGTGGCTAGGTTAAGTACCTTACGGGTACTTACGTACTGTACAGTCCACACCTGATAATTATAACCTAACCTAACCTAAGGGTGGCTAGTTTAAGTACCTTACGGGTACTTAAGTACTGTACAGTCCACACCTGATAATTATAACCTAACCTAACCTAAGGGTGGCTAGTTTAAGTACCTTACGGGTACTTAAGTACTATACAGTCCACACCTAATAATTATAACCTAACCTATATATATTTAGCAAATACATTAGGTAGTGAAAATCCAACCAGACAAATTGAAATTTGCTCAATCCGCAGCATCTGGTGGAGGTAACTTTAATATACTTTACGCGCCCATGATAGAATCATAACACATTATTTTATTTCTGCACCTTAAGTGAATTGCACAATAATCGGGAGTGGTAAGCCTGGCAAATCACTGAAGTAAACACACTAAAATCAGTTACAACGGAGATTTAGTGCCAACATAAAACGGATAGGAGCTCTGACTGAGTGTACAAACAACTATAAACACTATTAGGAGTCCAGTAATGTATGAGTAAACACATGAAAGTATATGTATATCAGTGATGTAACCCGATTAGCAGAAAAACTTAGAACTATACATGTAAATTTTCAATGATCTACAATGTATTTTGTTGATAGGGATTGATAACCCAACATTTTATTGAATTTAAACGGAATGTTATGAATTATTTATGTCCTGAAATAGTAGCGGTTCTCCATATAATATGTTGATTGTTCTATTTTTAGCAATGTTCATGATTTTAGAGTCGACGTTGATGGTTTACAGTAAGTATAATTTCCCAAAAGTCACTCTTCAATTTAATTTCTTTAGCTATTACATTGGTACTAGCTTAGACAATTGTTACAACTAGAAATTCCATCTCCATATGAAATTTGTAGCCAGTTTTTCAACCAAAATTGTCGTAGTTGATGTGAGCCACTAAACGGATTGTGCTGATCTAAATTACTGATTTCTGTTGAATACACAGCCTGTTTTACCAATTAAATCTAATGGAATGGCTTATTGTGAACTATAGCAACTGTTATGACCCGTCAAATGGTCCAGCAACAAAAAATAAGGCATAAAAGAGTTTTAGTCACTTGAGCATTCTATGACTGGCTCATAGAATGCTCGAAAAACAACTATGTTCTTTTTAACAATAATTTGGCTACAGCTGGTCCATATGAATGGGAAGTTTACAACAGTTTTAATAGTCAATAATACTAGTTTCCTTAAGGAATTAAGTTTCATTAATGTGAGATTCTTTAAGACTCTTATGTAGTCTTATTTTCTTCAATACTCAGTAAACGTACGGCCCCAGCTAAGTTTTGAATCGTAATAAAGCCTTATCGTATCTGGATAGTTTTATTAAAGCTTTTGCAGAAATAAAAATGTACTTAAACACTTGAAAATAAGCTATATACAGTAAACAGTAAATTTACAAACTTTATGTCCAAATTTACAGCAGCTAATCGCCTAGTCCCAGGATGTTTATCACCATTTACCACTGTACAAGGCATATGGCGTGTTATGGGGTTTATATGGAAACTGATGGGGAAAGGTGTCGCTTTTCAAAGCACTTCATTACCAAGTCTCAGGTGGTGAAAGGGACTGTACACCCCTCCCATAAAATTATGCCTCTTTTATGTATATTATCGCTTTATCGACTAAAGTTTTAATAAATAGCTATTAAAATAGTGATGGATAAATATATAAACATACAATAAATATATATCACCACTCATAAACTGTTATTTAAAGTTAGTATGAAATTTTTACACAACTCGAAAATCTGGCTACTCTTTGTTGAGGTTAGTTTAAGGCATACATATAAAATAAGTACTATACTGATTCTCCATAGAAATTTATTCTTTCCACATCGAAGCATGAATGTGGTACATAATCATTTAAAAACTAGATTTATACAATAATAATTATGTTTTGAGCAAAGTCATTCCTTTGGCTTAATAAGTATACTATATGAAATAAAGTATATGTTTATGTAACGTTTAATATATGCGTGTATACAATCTTGTTGAGTCACCAAATTAGAAATAAACTTGGTGGTAAGATAAAAAAATTTTAAAAATACTGTTTTTCATTAACTGTCAAGAGTAAATTTTCATAGAATTTTACGAAAGTTCCAGTTTGAGTTTTTAAACTTTAACCTGTAAAAAATTTGCAGGAACTGAACACCTACTTGATAGGTTATAAGGGTTTATCATGTGAAAGATAAACATCTGTTTCCCTAAAATAATTTGAACTAAATATGATAGCGATAATAATTGCATTGTTCTTAGCATTACCTGTTCACATTAGATGTCATTGGTGATGTAATAGCTATTAAAATATTCCGATCAAAATTCGCCATCATAACAGGATTGTAATAATGTCTTTATAACAACAAAGCTATTCATGAAGCTAAGCACTAACAAAGTTACCAAAATGTAATACTAAGTTAATATTGTAACCTATCGAGTCATACTACAGGGTTGGGCGTATCTATTAAAAACAAAAATATATGAAATGAACAATAATATACTAAATAGTAGTTTACGCAACGATTGCGTTAAGTGAGTCTTAACGACACGAGTAGAAAATTTAAGGCACGAGCCTTGGTGAGTGCCTTAAAAACTTCTACGAGTGTCGTAAAGACTATTAACGCGAGTTGCGTACACTACTTTACCTACGACAGTTTTTTAATTACTAAAAATCTGGTTTTTATCACTAACAATCACTACTCATAACTTCCTAGAGAGGTTATGTTTTCGTTTATTGTCATTGTCACTGAAAGTGATGCAACGACTTATTGTATAATCAGCTGATTTCATGTAATTACGTGTTTTTAAAACTTTGTTAAATAATACGTTACTTTTTCAGGCAATAGGTTCTGCTAGCAGCATTCTTACCATAAATACTGAATCAGGTACAATTAGGGAAATATTCCATATATTTTTGGACAACTGAATAATATAGTGAAACTGTTAATTTACAGTTAGATCTCAGCATCGAATATGTGGCCCACAACGAGTTGGGTGAAAAAGTGGTTAAGAGGTTTTCAAAATAAACCAGAAGAACATTTTCATTTATCAATTTAACCTTATTTTGTTTCGTCCATTTACTGAATTGCTGGTATGTAATTGCATATGGTACCTTTGTTTTGATTTTGGTGGCAAAAGATTAGCACAAACAGTTTGTGCTCTCATTTCCATCTCGTCAACATCACTTTCACTAACTGATATTTTAAAATCAACCTTCATTTAACTTCCACCAACTAATACGCGAGTATCAACAGGAATAAGCCGGATCAACAATTAAAATTGTCAACTGATCAGCTGATCAGCTGATTAGTTGACGTTCGAAGTATTACAATTGTACTTCTTTTCTCTCAATCCTTGAACCTCATTGGTCCGTTACCCGTGTTGATATGAGAAAAACTATGCTGATATGAAATGAAACTATGCGGATATGAAAGTAAACAGCTGTTAAGTGAAACTTTTTAATTCTAAGAACTGAATTGAAATGGCTACTTTAAAAAAACGGTCGTAGGTAAAGTATATTATCAAAATACTTTCAATACTGCAGTATTGAAAATCGCAAGACTTGGTACTATGGGCTTACGGTTGGAACTTATATTGCAGTTAGAATTTGTAAATATGAAATGAAATTACTAACATATAAACATAATTTTAAGTAAAATACCCCTGCTGCACTATACCTTGGGACTAAGCAAACTTCCATCTGCCTGTTTTGATTTTCACTCAAAGATTTCCAAAATTATCGAATCTATCCCCGATTCAAATAACATTAGGAATGAGTACATAGATGTGGTACAGAGAAGGTAGTTGCGTTTTTAGTAAAATTTTAATAGATTATTATGAAATAAATAAGTTTGACAATTTTGATCAAAATATATTCATAAACAAGCAAACTACAACACTTCACTTATTCTCCATAAGAGTAATGTGGAAATTTTACTTTGTTTTTTCCGGAATTTTCCTCTCTAGGGGCATCAAAACGAAAAAGTAAATCAAGTAAATCAGTCCCGGGCCCAGCAGACCATGGGACCTAAGGCTTATTTACTATTGTGAAATCCGCTAAAAATGAAATTAATCAAAATAAAAAAAAAATCATTATTGCAATCGTCAAGTGCAATGATGTTAGTGGATCAATGGGTTCCACGGGACGCGATGTAAATCCCGAAGGTAGTTAGTTAGAGATTGCACAAATCAAAAAGCAGATAAATGTTTAA